AGAGATAAAATAATTAAATAGTATATAAGTAAGTAATAACTATCACCTTACAGGTTCATTTTATAGGGTTGACTTCTAATTTACTATTCTAAATTGGTATCAAATCACCCATTATTACCAAATTCAATAGTGTTATAAAAACAATTAGAGAACAACTTTCACCTTATAAATCTCACATTTCTTAAGAGACAAAATAATTAAAAAAATAAATTAAAAATTATATAAATAAAAGATAACCCTCATCTTATAAATCTCATATCGAGTAGAGATAAAAAAAAGTATATAAGTTGTGAATTTAGAAAAGGAAATTATAGGAATAAATTATTTAAAGTAAATGAGACAATTGAAAAAAATAATTTTTAATAGCCTTTAAAATGACTACTAGAATTGTCACTAAAAAAAATAAGTTTTTTCGACAATATAGTAGATATTTACCAGCATTTTATATAAATGTCGGTAATAGTATTAGCGACACTGGATACATAAGCATTTATTTAAATGCTGGTAAAAAAACTAATAGTCAATTATATAGCCGCTAAATAATAAATTAATTGCCACAAAAAATTAATTTTGCGTGTAGTGCATGTTCAAATTGTTAATTAGAACAATTTCTCTTAATATTAATATTTGACCTCAATGAAATAAGAAATAATGGACCAACATTTCCTTTTTTCCATAATATTATAAATTTTTTCTTTCAACTTTTATGTTGTTATAACTGTGGAAGAAAATATGCACAAAGTTTTGATGATGCCAAAGCATTGAAATAAATAAAGGTCAAGTTAAAGCAAACTGATCAAGAAGCAAGATCTCAAGTAATAACTAGATAAGTCTTGACTGCTTAGCTTAGTATGTAAAATGAACTTTTAGAATTTGCAAATTTGACTTGGCCATTAAAATAAGAATTTCAAGAAAACCTAAACTTAATACTTTTGAATATAAGAATAAGTTGTTTGAAAAGAAAGCAAAAAGAGTATTCAAAAGATTAAACAAAAATATTTTTAACTGGAAAATAGAAGCTCTTTATATCTTAGGTTTTCATAAGCCAAAACAAGTGACATGTTTCTGGTAATCGATTACCACTTGCTGTAATCGATTACCAGAGAAAGAAAACCTTTCAAAATGTTAAAATGCTCTCTGGTAATCGATTACCACTGACTGTAATCGATTACCAGAAGAGAAATTTTCAAAATTCGAATTTGAACTATACAACGTTTCAAACATTTTGAACTTAAACCGTTGTAATCGATTACCAAGTCTTGTAATCGATTACCAGAGCCTATTTTCTGAAAAATTATAGAGAGTTACAACTCTTCATGAAAAGACATAACTCAAGATACAATTGTCTATAAATACCTATAATTTTTCAGAGAAAGGTGACGAACTCTATTGTGAAAATCATTTACAAAAACTACTTGGCCAAAAATCATTTGCAAACAATTATCTAAAGAGTTCATCAAGTTCATAGAAAGTGTAATATCTACTCTTTAAAGAGAGTCATTCTTTAAAGAGAGTCATTCTGTAATACCCTGTTGATCTGTTGATCTGTAAAGGAGAAAGGGTTTTTATCCTTGTTGGTGTTTGAATCTCAACACAAGGAAAGGGAGTTCCGAGGTGTTGGAGGATTCAATTCTTGTAAGGTTTACAAGAGTAGTGGAAATCTCAAGTGGGAGACTTGAGGACTGGATGTAGGCAGGATTGGCCGAACCAGTATAAAATCAAGTTTGTAATTCTTCTTTCCTTACACTTTTAATTTCTTGTTATTAATTATAATTGTGTAGTTTGCATCATCATTCATTCCTTCAAATTTGTCTAAGGAAATAAATTGATAAAAAAGTAATTGAAAAATTTTTAAAGAGAAAATTTAGTAAACTTAATTCACCCCCTCTTAAGTTAATTGAGGCTATGGGACTAACAATAACCTTAAGTTTATTACATTATTAGGCTTATTTCTACTTTAACTTGCACGAACCTTTTCATTTTTGTCTTTCCTTACATTTTTGTCGTTTAAATGATATCTTAATAAACCTATTGCATACATTTGTCTACTTTTAATTCACACAAACCTTTATGATTTTGATTTTTATAAAGCACTTTGATAGATTGTGTAAAAAAATAAACAGTTTAATAAACCTTCACCAATTCATGAATTTTTTATTTAGTGAAACTATGATCACTTAATCAAGACTAAGAAGCTAGAGGGCTAGATAGAAAATGGATTCTCTCCATTTCTTTTTACTTCCATTTCTTAAACTTTTGAAAAAATTAATAAAATAAAAATGTATATTTTAAGAAGAGTTATATTTATGCTTTTAAAACTTTAACAACGGAAGAAATAGAGAAGATATTTACTGGACTAAATAATCAAAGTATGATTTAAACCCTTTTTTAAGTATGCTAATATATATCATCATTGCATTTATATTTAAAATATTATCTATGTTAATTCTCATTAATATTTTGATTGATGATAAAAGAAAAAATATTTATAAACTACATTATAGGTGAGACTTTTTTCTCAATGGGATAGAATACAATCCATATTCTGCTGTGTTAAAATGAAATTATTCAATGTGTATTTGTATTTTGTAATATTAAATGAATAACATGAATTTATCAAAACCAGTTTCGTTTTGCAAACCTAGTAGTTGAAGCAAAATTTAGCATTAATTACACCCTTGTTTGGAAGAGAACTGCATATATACGTTAAGCCGTAATTAAATGATCACCGAATTTGTCAAGCTCAAAAGTAGTACAAATTTTGACTCTAGAAAGAAAATTGGACAGATGAATAACATTATCCAACAATTACAACAAATCCGCGTTTGTCAACTTTCAAATTGCCAAGATATCGAGTGTAAACAGGAAATAACAATAAAAGCTTTCCAAATAATTGCACAGAGCGTGGAAGTAATTGCATCTAAAAATATTACTAAAAGAAATAAAAAGAGTTATAAATGGTGATAATTACAATACGTAGACACTATAATAGGTGTTGGAAAGATATAGTACCAAAAGATTTTTGATAGCTACGGTGTGGTTGGAGATGTTGGAATGTGTACTCTACACGTGGGACACTTTGAGAGCGAAAGAAAGAAATTTAGGTGAGGTTAATAAATGAATATGGATATTTTCTCTATTTCTTTTTGTCGTACTATTTTTTAAAACAAGTTTTTATTTATAAGTTTAAAATGATATTAATTATTATATTTTATTTAATTTTAAATACTTTATACATTTATTATTGGTGATGGAATAATAATAATCATAACTACTATAGAAAAATAAAAATAATTTTAATATATAAGAAAAGATAAGGGATCAAGTTACTCCTAGAATAACTTTAAAATAGTTACTTTTTATTTTTACTCTTTATTTTTTCTCAATCTAATAGTAAAAAATGAATTACTCGTTAAAATTATTGGATTAAGAGAAAATAAAATATGAGATGGAGAGTAATTCTTGAAATAATTTCATTCATTATCATATGAAAATATTAATTAATAATTTTAATATATATATTATTTGTTAATATGAAAATAAAAAAGAAATCATATTTTCAAACTAGTGATTTGTTTCAATTAATAAAGCCTTTGATTATTAGTTGTTTTAGATTAAGTGACTTGTTTTGTTTATGTTTAGCTTTCTAGAAGAGTTATGAACAAAGCACATAATTATTTGTTTTTGTCTAGAAAAATCAACATATAGATATAAGGAAGAGTGTAGATGAAGACATGACCTTTTATTGATTTCAAATTGTGAGAGGATTATAATAGATGACTTTACTTTCACTCAAGTTAAAAGACATCCCTATATATAATGGAATAAATGTTAATTCATCATAAACAAATTAATTAATTGAGGATTTTTTTCTTGATTCGTCTTAAAGAAATTTCTAAAAAAAAATTTATTTTTAAAAATTTCTCCAATATTTTATTTTCTCTATATTCTTTATTATGAAACCATTATTTGAAATTTGATTGAAATATATTTTCAACATAATTTTCTTCACGTCTTTTCAATTTTTGTTCAAGATTTTAAAAAAGCTTATTAATTGTGTCACCTATAATATAAATTAATTTTTAATTTTTTCAATCGTAATTATGATTGAATCATATTTATAGGAATAGAAATTAGAATTTTTTCAACAATTTTTTCGTCAAGAATATTTTTCTCATATATTCTCATTTGATTAACTGAATCTTTTATTCTAAAATAATAATCTTTTGTAGTCTTAAAGTCTTCATATTTATTAACTCAAATTTAAAATTGAAGTTTAACATTGTGTACTTTGTCTCTTCCTTAAAATTCCTCCCATAATGTATCACATGCTTCCTTTGCATTTGTGAAATCCATTTTTCTTGAAAACATTATGTCAACAATAGCTTGTTGAAGAACAAATAATACCCTTGAATCCTTCTTATTATTTTCCTTCAACTCCTTCCTTAAACTGGATTAAGAGTTTATATATTTGATACCCTGTAATAGCTAACAATTTTTCAACAATTGAAACTCTAATTCAACACCATTTGCAAAACTCAGCTAATATCAAAGTAATGCCTCAAATTTCTTTGGTATCAATGTGTTTCCTTGTTAAACCCTTTTGTACTTGGCCTTCAAAAGACCTCAAGGGTAACTAAACAAGACAACTAGTATCTAAGTTAAGCTTGAGATTTTTCACTATCACAAAATGTTACGTATTATATGACGCAACAAATAAAGGAAGAACATACCCTTTCTATCATTTTGAGATACATAAGTTAACATAACTATACCTAGGGACTGAGGAAATTTCATAATTATAAGGGGGGAAATGCATTTTATTAAGTGTTAGGGTTAAAATAAAATTTTAGAAGGTCGGAAAATATATTATAACTTCATAAAAATAATATAATATTAGAAATTGCAAATATCTAGCCTTTAAAGTTTTAGTTAGATTACATATTTGAACAGTGAGATATCTCTTATTTATTTCCCTTTTTTTTGGTGTTGTGTGTGTTAAATTCTTTGTATACAAGAATCAAGAATACAGAATCATCGATAAAAGTTATGGAAACATTACAAATAAGAGGATGTGAATCATGTTATGTCACTCATCTCTACAGTTAGTGAACTGTTGTTAAACCTTTCTCACTTGCTACCCTCTCAACAAGCGACCTTTTCCTTTGTATTTTAGATTTGGTTGGTTAATATAAATCACCTTCCTAAGTCCTAACTCTAGTAAACAACATATGAACATGACCACCCAAAACCAAGGAACATGTTTGAAATCAGCAAGGCTTTTAACTGCGGTTGTTGTCACCCTCTGGAGGCCAAAATCATGATCTTTCTGTAAGTGACACAACAGCTATTGCAGTCACAAAACCCTTCAAAACTGTGACATTGTGATTGGAGACTGCACTTAAAACTCTTGAAAATCAAACTTGGACAATTGATTCTTCACTTCTTGATGGGCCGTCTGAGTTGCGTGAAGTAGAGGACTCTGAGTAGCTGTAGGACACTCCAATCTTCTTCAAGGCATTGGATATGAAGCTGTTAGTGCTATTATAAGACTTAATGGAGCTGTCTGAGTCTTGCACTCCAGTGTTCAAAAATGGGGGTTGATTTGGTGTTGGAACATTCACATTTGAATTACTTAGCATGTGAACAACTTGAGACATGGATGGCCTTAGAGTAGCTGAAGCTTGTGTGCAAAGCAATCCAATCTGAAACACCCTTGATGCTTCAGTTTCAGGAAAATCACCACCCAAGCAAGGATCGATAGCTTCAGTTAATGTGTTTAATCGGTAAAGTTTCCAAACCTGGTGACAAAATGATATTTTATCACTAGGTAATTACAAACAAATGAAATGGTTGTTTCAAATTTTGTTCAAATTAAGCACAAGTCTTACAGTTTGTAGAAGTGAACCAGAGTCCTCTCTGAAGACGTTATTTCTCCTGCCACTTACAATCTCCAGAACAAGTACCCCAAAACTATACACATCAGCTTTGTCTGTAAGTTGTCCTCGAATTAGGTACTCGGGAGCCATGTAACCTCTGCTCCAGAAATGAAAAATCAAGTGTGGATTAAGACTATGGAACATGTAAGAGAAATAAATAAAATCAACGGGCCTTTTGTTTATCAAAAAATTAAAAAACGAGAACGACCATATATTAGGACATAAAAGCTATTTAAGTCTTATTTTTTACTTAACAGATTAATTCTTATGGATTTAAGTTTGAACGACTCCTTAAAAGAACCAACAGATATCAAGAACCGACACTAATTATGTATGTAACATGCACAATATCATATGCTAAATCCAAGTACTTACAGTGTTCCTGCAATTCCAGTGCTCAAATGTGACTTATCAGCACCAAAACACCGGGCAAGGCCGAAATCTGCAATCTTAGGAATAAGATTCTCGTCCAGAAGAATATTGCTGCTTTTGATGTCTCTATGGATTATTCTTATTTTAGTGCCTTCATGAAGATATGCAAGCCCTTCTGCTGTTCCAAGAATGATATTAAACCGCTGCTTCCAGTTTAGAATCTGAGTTCTGTTCTTTTCTGCAAAACACATTACCGTGTTTGTCACCTTCATGAAACTAGAGAAAAGCATTTGATATATCTTACTACTCACATATTGGTTGGTTGATGTTAGGAAATTAAAAAAAGTAATTACATTATACTGCAATATAAAAGAGAACTTACCTCCATGAAACAAAAAAAAAAGAAACAAGAGAACTTACCGAAAATAAATTGGTCTAAACTCTTTTTGGGTAAGTACTCATACACAAGGAGGCTCTCAGGGCCTTCAATACTACAACCCAATAGTTTAACAAGGTTCTTGTGTTCAATTCCGCTAATCAAATTCACTTCATTGAAGAACTCATCCACCCATTGCCTGTTATTGAAGATCAACCTCTTAACCGCAACAACTTTCCCATTTGGGAGAACACCTTTGTAAACTGAACCAGCTCCACCTTGGCCTATTTTTCTTGAAGAGTTGAAATAATCCGTGGCCTTCTCAAGTGTTTCATACTTGTAATTCAAGCTAGATTTGCTTATGGAAGAGGAAATCTGACCAAGGTTATTGTTTTCTGAGTGATTCACGAGAAGAAAAATACAGCATAAGAGAGTAACATATAACAATTAACAAATCCATCTTGACGGTGTTGGTAATGATAGTTTCATTTCCAAAATGTTCACCTTTTTTTATCTTTGACAATTTTGTGAAGGCCGCATAAGAGGCAGAGAGAGCGAGCATTATAACTGCAGCTGCTGCCAATACTTCTGCTACTATGACTCCTCTTCTCCTTAAAGATCCTGAAAATTTGAAACTCAGGCAAGACATCTACATATGATAGAACTGGCTGTTTGGTTGCTGAGGAAAAAAAAACAGTAACAGAAACATTTTTTTTCTCCCTTAGTGTCATCTATGAATTAAGATCTGGAATCTATTTAGGCGTAGGAAAATTGAAAAACATTTGAGTTATAATGATAAAAGACTAATGGATGAAAATTTCGCAAGAAAGATTCAAACCCCATTTGAAAACAAAAGGACAAAACTCAAAACAAAGGTTTTTAAAATTGATCTGCAACCGTAATTTTAGCTCCAACATCTGGATTTTCGGACCGTCAGCAGTTGTGACCTCATTAATATGTTATTCCCCAATATGTCATACACCATGACAAAATATCAAAAACTGTTAACACAAATTGATCGACACTTGTATTCATAAACAGAGGCTGAATTCAATCCCTCCAACTTAGACATAAAATCAAAATTAAAAGTATCACTTTACCCCATAAGATAAACATAATTTGAAAGAGTTATACTACCATATTAAATAAATCATAAAAAAGATTGTAACAAAATGGCGACCACGAGTACAATTAAAACTTTCTTTCAAAGTCATTGCATGTATCACCACCGATCCACCACCGCCTTATCACCATATTCAGAAATCATTGCTACTAAAGTCTAAAACCACCAAAGAAGTTGCCTGTACCTAATCCTTTACTCAATCAATCTATTTGGATGCAAATTTAAAAGAGCCTTTAACAGCTTCATTAGTAAAAAAAAATTCTCTTTACACTCACAAATTCTTCTAAACTTGTATCCAAATAGACTCAACCCCCAACACAAACTAAAAGTCACCACATTCAGCGTAAATTTAGATATCAGATTAAATCAAAGTCCAATAGAAAAACACCCATTCCAATGAAAAGAAAGAAAAAAACTTGTTGAGTGTGGCATTTTTTTTTCAACCCTAGTTGACAGGGTTAATTACTGACCATTTTGAGGATCTGCATGAAGAAGAGGTTGTTGATTATAGAACTTGTGAGTTGAATACCTCAAATAGCATCCAGCATTCAAGGCCCTCCCTTCCCTCTTGGGCAAGCACCCTCTAACCTCCCTCCCAGCTTTCCTCAAGCACTCCCTACACCCCTCCCTCCCAACACTCTTCCAGCACTGAGCCAAAGCATAAACCCCCTCAACCTCTCCCACCCCAAACCCC